TGTTAGAAGGGAAACCCAGCACCCCAACAAAGGGTAAAGGGTACCGCCCTAACCCCAAAACCCTAAACCCGCTGGGTTACCAAGTCTAGAGCCCAACGTGTTTTTCAGCCTCGGAGGCTGTGTCAAGACCAATTCCAGGCGTTTGGCATCTTAGGGGTTGACCACGCAGTACGGGTTTAGGGTTTAGGGTTTGGGGTTCAGGGTTTAGGCGATTTAGGAGCACAACTTTGCTCAGCCACCACACGAAACTCCTCGTAGCTGGCGAACTTGCCGGCATGGGCTTGGTGGAAGTCGCCCAGCTGGCGCTGGAAGTCGGCCTTGATGAGGGTTTAGGGTTTAGGGTTTAGGGTTTAGGGTTTAGGGTTTAGGGTTTAGGGTTTAGGGTGGACATGATGAACCCTCAAAGGGCTTATGGTTCATATACCCGAATACGGATTACAGTAGTCTAGGGTCATGACCCCCAATCTTCGGGTTCACTTGGTCCCCAAGAACATACCCCTAAACCGCCTGACATTTCGACTGGGCGTAGCAGCTGCAAACAAGGTCCGGAACGCTAAGGGGACTTCGGGGCATGCAAACATGGGGGCGAGCGCCCGTGCCAATTGCGTCCTCAGACACCTCATCGAACCAGCGAAGCAGCCTCTCTCCTTTCCGTGAGGCATGAGGTGTCTGGACTTAGCTTCAGGAGGCCCTAAGACATTCTTCGCCTTTACCTGCTCTTTTTTTGAGTTAAGGGATTGATGTGTCATTTTCTTCTTTGGGTTGCTTGAGCAAATCTTAGACCTGAGCACAGTCAGACAAGGGGGCAGGGTGAACCGGGGGGAGGGGGGGGTGGGAACGTCGGATTTACATGGGAGCAACAGCTGCGGCGCTTTGGAAGACGGGGGACCGTTCTTGGGGGCCTATAGGGTTCCAAGTATAGAAATTATACCTACATTGGGGTCTAACGTCTGTAAAAAAATACCTACTTTGGGCTATTTGGAGCCTTAGGGTGTGAGTATCTCTGGTGGCTCGCGGAAGCGAACATTTGGACGTAGTGCGCAGGTCTGAGAATGGTTTTAGTTCCTAGGTTTGGGGTATTGGGTCGGGCTTGAGGGTCTTGGTTCATGCGAAACAACCCCTATATTGATAGCAACGCAGAAGCTCAGAAAGGGCGCAAGCCCCACTCGTACAACATTCTCTGTTTCATCCTGAAACATTCTATGTAAGCCCTAAGCCCTCTCCTATGTGGGAATTGTCCTCAAGTAGGGCGACCCCTAATCTACCACCAAAGTATGAAAGTCCTCACCAGATGGAAACCCCCAAACCCCAAACCCTTATTTTGAAGCTGGCCTTGCTGACGGCCAGACCAAACCCTAAACCTTCAACCCTTTTTGCACCAGGGCTCTCTCAAAGCCTAAACCCGTTTACCCTAAACCCGAACCCTGAACCCCGAATCCTAAACCCCTAACCCCTAACCCCTAAACCCTAAACCCTAAACCCTAAACCCTACCTAAACCCCTAAACCCTAAACCCTAAACCCTAAACCCTAAACCCCAAACCCCAAACCCTGAGCTGAACCAGCTCTGTTCTGGGAACTCCCCCCCCCCTCCCCCCCCCCAGGTAATTAAAGCCTCGATTAGGGTTCCTTCAAGAGGCTCCGCGGGAGCTCGGGTCTGGGGCTTTTAGGGCTTTTAGGGCTTTTAGGGCTTTTAGGGGTTTTTGGGGTTTAGGGTGCGTATAGGGTTTAGGGTTTAGGGGTTTTAGGGCTTTAGGGCTTTAGGGTTTTAGGGATGGTTCCCGGTTCTTCATTTCAAGGCGGCCCCTAAGAATGTGGGTACCCGTGAAAAGGGGACCCTAATTTAGAGAACTCACCCATATTCTTATTGATCTCTGTACCCCAAACCCTAAACCCCAAACCCCAATCCCTAAACCCCAAACCCCAAACCCTAAACCCTGCAGCATGAAGTTGAAGCAGGAGGCGGTTCCGGAGCGACTGTAGGAATGACATCGCGCCATTACCGAAAGCGGGCTCGCTGCGCGCCCGAGATAACGGGGACGTTCGAGTTTAGGGTTTAGGGTTTAGGGTTTAGGGTTTAGGGTTTAGGGTGTAGGGTCAACCTGATTTTGTTCGAGGGATTGTGGTCACCAGGAGCCCTTCGGAGAAAACAAACAAACAGCTCTGTCGCCGCAACAATGCGCCTGGAGCTCGGCTTAACACTTCCCCAAGGGGTGCGCTGAGGAGCTGTGACTGGCGGTTTTGTTGGATCGTGATAGATGACAGTCCTACTTGTCCAGTACCTAGGGGAGCTAAAGGTTGACCTTTGGGATTCTGAGGGGATCATATAAGGTTAACCTTTGGGATTATAAGGGGATTATATAAGGTTAACCTTTGGGATTATAAGGGGATAATATAAGGTTAGCCTTTGGGACTATAAGGGGATTATATAAGGTTAGCCTTTGGGACTATAAGGGGATTATATATTGCCCCCAAATGAAAGGTTCCCTGGTCTGCACCTAAGCAGGTTGGATGTGGTGAAAGGTTTCGGTTTCATGGGTTCAGGGCTGCTGCCAGAGCTAGGCTGCAGCGCATGCTGAGCCATAGACACTAAAGGCGACAGCGCAGGCAAACGGAGCACCAGCTACCATCTAGACCCGGGAGTACCTAGGAATAAAAAGGGTGCAGTTTTGGGTCTTAAGGGGATTATAAGGGAACCCCAAATCTCAAAAAAAAACTAATAAATGGCCTACACACAACAAGTGCCTGTGAATCAGGACTTAGCAGCCACGGGAGATCACTTGACCTTAAGCTAAAAGTTGACGATGCAAACATGTTTCAACTTCCAGTACCCAGCCGAGCTGAAACCGAAGTCTTGTCAACGACGCACCTTAGGATCCCCGCACAAGGCGTCTTCTGGAGCAGTGCACAACATACCACAGCTTGATTTGTCCTAGCCTGCACTCATGTTAATGCTAGCTGGAAGCTCATGCCAACGTGTACCTGGCAGCCCCTCAGGCATAATGTTGACGTGCGACTTAGAAACAACCCCACAGTTCAAAACAGGTTCCACATGAAGCTTAATAACAAACCCCTAAACCCTTTTGTCCCACTAGAACCTTAACACTAGACTAGTAATGTGAATAGTTCTTCTTTGAAAAAGCGAAGGGGGCTTTAGTCAAACACCGGACAGCTTCATCCCGCCTATTGCTTCGAGATTCATGGGTGCATGTAGGAAGTACCCCACGGAAGGTTATGACCAGCTACAACTGTAGCTACCCTATATATATATATATATATACACACACAACCCCAGCCATGACTACCAACCCCAAACCCTAAACCCTAAACCCTAGACCCTAGACCCTAGACCCTAAACCCCGCATGTGCAATCCAGGGATTGCGGCCCGGTCGTTGGCCGCCTTGACGTCCGGCCGCCCGGTGGTTGCGAACTCCCGGACCTGGAAGGAGGCATACAGGGTTTATAGGGTTTGGGTTTTGGGTTTAGGGTGTAGGGTTTAGGGTTTAGGGTTTGGGGTTTGGGGTTTGGGGTTTGGGTTTGGGGTTTGGGGTTTGGGGTGTGGGGTGTGGGGTTTAGGGTTTAGGGTTTAGGGTTTCGGGTTTCGGGTTTCGGGTTTCGGGTTTCGGGTTTCGGGTAGACCATAAGATCCCACTACCGCCGCCATTACTCCTTAATTGAGGAATATACCCGATATCAGATTCGTGTCCAAATGTGAAGTCAAGGCAACTCCTTGATAAAGGGGTATTGTTGGGAGTCGTGTCTTGCCAATACTAAACCCTAAACCCTAAACCCTAAACCCTAAACCCTAACCCCTAACCCCTAACCCCTAACCCCTAAACCCTAAACCCTAAACCCTAGGCAAGGTTGTCTTGCCAGCCGCCAAGCAGATCAGAAAGTTTAGGGCATAGCGTTGGCTGATGGTCGAGGGGTGGGTACCTATTGCAACACGGGGACTTGCATCTAGGGGACCCCAGAAAGAAAGAGCATAAGTTCGATAAGCAATAAGGGGCAATTTCGGGGGTACCCCAACTAGAAGGAGGAATTTTGCTGGAAATAATGGCAAGCCCCCCCCCCCCCCCCCCCCCCCCCAACCCCCCCCCCCCAAAAAAAAAAAAAAAAAAAAAAAAAAAACATAGATATATAGATATATATATATATAAACAACATAATAAATAAAACAAACATAAGATCGACTCCCGGACCGCATTTAAGCCAGGCAACAGGAACAACAGAAGACATCCAAAACCCTGAAACTGCTGTCCTTCACCGTTCACAAAGAGAGAGAGAGAGAGAGAGAGAGAGAGAGAGAGAAAGAGAGAGAGAGAGAGAGAGAGAGAGCGAGGGATGGAGGGAGGGAGGGACGGAGGGAGGGAGGGAGGGAGGGGGAGGGAGGGAGGGGAGGGGAGGGAGAGCGAGAGACAGAGAGACAGAGAGAGGTCAGCAAGGAGGCGCACCGATTGTTCTCCGACCCTCCACAGGCAGTTGATGGAGTCAGCTCAGCAACATGGATGGACGCCAAATGCTTCGTCCTGGGTCCTTCAAAACCTCCCAGGATGGGCTGCTATTCCCTCAGGGTTTAGGGTTTAGGGTTTAGGGTTTAGGGTTTAGTGTTTAGGGTACTCCCATGAAAGGGACTTGCTTCAGGCGAGGGAGATCGGGGGAGCTGCAAGCCCATCCCAGTCACAGGCTCCCCACAAAAAGAGCCATACAGGCTCTTTCGGGAGCCATTTAGGGGACCCAGGTACAAGTCATGTGGTCATGGGGTCTATTGTTAGGGGGAGAGGGGTAACCACGTAGTCCTAGCTAAGGGCTTCGTGCTTCCCCTAAAGGCTCCAAAGAATCCAACAGTAGGGATTATTTGCAGACTTTAGACCCCAATGCAGGTCTTATTTGTCTACTGAGTCTACTTGAAGCCTTCCGACATTCGGGTTGCTGCTGGAACTCGTCCGTGTGAGGCTCGCTCGCGCGCTCCGCGCGCGTGCGATCGGAAGATGCCACATCTCACTGCGCCAGGGCCAGATCTCGGAGCTCTGAGTATCGGTCGTAGGCAGCCAGAGCTTCCTCTTGATGGGGCTGAGGGTTGAGGGTCATGCTCTTCAGTAAAGGTATATAGGGCCCAAACTTGAAGTACAAGTGTAATTTCAACGGCCTGTGTTGAAAATATTGCAGCAAAGGGCCTTTTTTCATGCTGGGACTTACGATGAAGCTGCTGCGCAAAGCATCGTTCTGCTGTGACAGTTTTGGACTGGCGCACAGGCTGAGGAACGTGCCTCCGGCATACTTGGGAGAGCCACTGCGTGTAACGAATCCGGCGAGCTGTCACAATGAACAATGGGTCTTGAAAGCACAAACCACCAGCAGTACACTCGAAAACCAACAAAGCCTGAACCCTACTGCTATAAATAGCTCCGCAAATCCAGGCCGGTACAAGTAGTTCCTGCATGAAAGTCAGGTTCGCATCCAGGCTGATGGCGAGCGACAGGGCTTCCTGGGCTTGTAGTAGGGCTCAACCCAGGGTTCCCTAATACTCCCCACTACTCCCTAAGGCTCCCCAAACTTTCTGAGGTTCCCTATAGGCACCTACCCCCCCATGAAGCCTCCCCCCCCCCCCCCCCCTAAGGACCCCATAAAGCAAAGGAGCGTGGGGCGAGGCACAACGTGGAAGCGGGAAGATGCAAGGCAGTTGCTACAATGAGACGGCCGGGCTTAGGGTTCAGAGCTGCTTGTGAACTTATGACGAGTTCATGGTTGGGATAGGATTAAAGTTTTAAAGATTCTATTCCTTATTTAAGTACCCTTAAAATTGTAACATGTTACCCCACTATGACAGAGATGAACCGTAGCTATGCTGCTTTGTGAGTTGTCAGGGCTCACCATGCACAACCCTAAACCCTAAACCCTAAACCCTAGACCCTAAACCCTAAACCCTAAACCATGCACTTGGGTTGCCTTCTTTCGGCTTCAACTTCATCTCCGGAGGCCGGCGCCACAGCTTAGCCTAATATAGGGGCCTTAATAATTAGAATAGGGTTTAGGGTTTAGGGTTTAGGGTTTAGGGTTTAGGGTGTAGGGTTTAGGGTTTTGGGGGGGCGGGGGGGGGGGGGGGGGGGGGGGTATTTTATATATTTATTTATCAAGGGACCCTCAGGGAAAACGATTCGTAATTCTTCCGACCCCTATAGTATCTACCAGATGGGGAAGATTAAAACGGGGACACATCCCAAGGTTTAGGGGTGGGCGTAGTGGGGTCCAACAGCACCGGTTTCGGGCCTAGGGGCTTAGAGTTCAGGCTTTTTTTGGCGCTTGGAGTACGTGCGTTTAGGGTTAGGATCTGGAAGTTCGGAACCCTAAACCCTAAACCCTAAACCCTAAACCCTAAACCGCCAGAAAGTGGAGGCATCAGCCCCTGGATCAACCCCAACTCTTCTACCTGGGCTTCCCTCGACAGGAAAAAGCCAAAACAGCTCTAAAGAGTCTAAGAACCCTTGCACATTGCCCAAAACGAACTTCAAGAAGGCCCATATATCCCACCCCCTACAAATCCCAAACCCTAAAGTAAACCCGGAACCCTAGACCCCAACCCCTAAACCCTAAACACCAAACCCTAAACCCTAAACCCTAAACCCCAAACCCTAAACCCCAAACCCCAAACCCTTCAACAAGAAGACGGCTCACAAAAAGCTGGCACGAGGAGCGCCCTGGAAGTCGACGTGCTTGAGCTTCTCGGGAATGAGCCCGGCGTCTATCTTCGCACAGTTCTCCTCTGAGAGCCCTAGAATCCCTAGGGTTTAGGGTTTAGGGTTTAGGGTTTAGGGTGTAGGGTGTAGGGTGTAGGGTGTAGGGTGTAGGGTTTAAGACTGGAACTGAGGCCAGGGCAGCATCCATCCATCCAGCTTGTCCTATAATCCCTAAACTTTAAACTACTATCTGCTCTGTAACCTGAAAATTGGCGGGACCTACGAAGCCTGACTGGCAGCTGACGCAGTCCTTTGAGTGCTCTCGCACAAAGCAGCGCAGACCCTCCGAGGGCTTCACAGCCCAGTAGTGCACCTAAAAAGGGTCGCTTCATGGCTGATGGCTGTCATTGTGCGTGGATGTTGTGCAGTCTGAACAGAGACCGTCCGTTGCAACTGTTGAGTCAGGTCGTTGACACATCTCAGAACTCAAAAAAGCGCGGTCTTCAGCAAGGACCGCCAAGTCACGATGGCCGTGTGGTTGGAGCCTTCCGCAAACAAGTGTTGGTAGAGAGCCATGCCCCTAACCCCAAACCCGAAACCCATAAATCCAAAATCAAGAACCTGCTAGACCATGACAGCCGAAGCTGCTCCACATGGGGCGTGACAAGGAGGCCAGGCAGGGAGGGAGTTTTATTTGCCCAGGACTGCCGAGTCTCCCCGAAACGCTAAAGCCCTTTTGCATCCGAGCTTGGGTGAGCATGCCGGGAAAGAGCTCAAGCGGCCGAAGCCCACTCCTAAAGCTCTAAACCCCTGAACCCCGAAACCCCTACACCCCTAGACTCCTAAACCCTAAACCCCTAAACCCCTAAACCTCAATAAACCCCTAAACCTAAAGAAACCCCTAAACCCCTAAACTCCTAAACCCCTAAACCCCTAAACCCCTACACACCTACACCCCTAACCCCTAAACTAAACCCCTAGACCCCTAAACCCCCAAACCCCTAACCCCTCAACCCCAAAACCCGAGAGGCGGGCCTGACCAGAACATCTTGTAGTTCCACTTGTCCTCCAAAAAGGCGCGGCCCGGGTGGTGATCGAAGTAATGGTTCCTTGGGCGCAGCAGAGGTGTGGTTTGTCAGTTTGGGGTTTAGGTCCGTGGTTTGTGACAATTGTGTGCTTCAAGAGCTTAAGTCCTTGCGGTTCTGTGCGAAGTTCTGGGCTTCAACTGATGCGAGGACCTGTACATGAGGTTAGACGCATTCGAAAACCCTAAACCCTAAACCCTAAACCCTGAACCCTAAACCTTAAACCTTAAACTAGTAGAGCAGGGGCCCTTCCCTCTGGGGGCCGGATTTTAGGGTTTAGGGTTTAGGGTTTAGGGTTTAGGTTTAGGGTTTAGGGCCACCTCCCGTGTCCAATGCCGGCAAGTGGCAGGACACCTTGCAGCGGGGTGGACAAAGCTGCAAACTGGAACATAGCTGTCATCACAGCATGTTTCCCAGTTGTACATGTGACGAAAGAACAGTGAATCATCGCTGATCGCTGGCTAATTTCTTGGTTCTCTTCAACACGCCACAAGCCCTCAACCCGAATTCAGCTTCCCAACAAACCACTCCCAGTCGGAGGCATGTCCCCAAAACAGCCAGCCCAAAACAACGGCTCAATGATTTGAAACAACGTTCAAAAAAAGGGTACCCCCCCCCCCCCCCCCCCCCCCCCCTTCCCCCCCTCTCCCCCCTTCCCCCCTCTCCCCCCTCCCTCAGCGTACTGCGTGATAAGGCTACGACTACAGCTGCAGATGAGCACCCTCAAAATAAGAGTATTCACGACATCAGGGCCTAGGGAAGGCTCTGGAAGTCTCAAGCAACCCTAAACTTGGGATTTTCCCCCTTATACTCGCAGTAAAGGGGAAACATCCCAAACAATACAAAACATGTCTGAAAAGAGAAACCCAAGCCCCCAAAAACCTCCTGCAACCGGCTTGCCCTGCCGCCTCGCAACCACCCTAATCGGGCCAAATCGCCTGAACCCTAAACCCTAAACCCTAAACCCTAAACCCTAAACCCTAAACCCTAAACCCTAAACCCTAAACCCTAAGCATGGCAAAGACCTTTGCCCCCCCCCCCCCCCCCCCCCCCCAAAAAAAAAAACTCCCGTAGTGACCTTGGTCCTGGCTCGTAAGGAGCAGCTCGCCTCAGACTTCGACTCATTCAGCGTTCACAGGGTTGGGGTGATGGAGGGAGGCCCTGAACCCTTTCATAGACCCAAAACCCCCCTAAACCCCCTTAGCCCCCCCCCCCCCCCCTGCAGCAGGCTTCCCCCCAAACCCTAAACCCTACAAACCAAACTTCTTCCTTGCGGGAGTAGACTGGTCTCTCTATCATGGCTAATCCTAAGCAGCCTGTGACTGTGGTCAATCAAAGATCAGCGGCTCTTCCTTTCCTTGTCTCCCTCCTCCTAAACCCTAAACCCTATAAACCCTATAAACCCTATAAACCCTATAAACCCTATAAGCCCTACAAACCTACAAACCCTATAAACCCCACAAACCCTATAAGCCCTTTAATCCCTATAAACCCTATAACCCTAAACCCCAGTCGCAGTCCCTGTCTTTGGGGGTCCAAGCTGCTCATGGCAATGTTCCCGCTCTCCTCATTCACTGCGAAGGCAAATGCCAGCGCCCGTGGCCTGAGATCGTGTTAGGGTTTAGGGTTTAGGGTTTAGGGTTTAGGGTTTAGGGTTTAGGGTTTAGGGTTGAGGGTTTAGGGTTTAGGGTTTCGGGTTTAAGGTTTGACGGTTTGAGGGTTTGAGGGTTTGAGGGTTTGAGGGTTTACGGGTTAAGGGGCCACCCCAAACCCTTTGCAGCCAGGTCTTCCTTGAGGGTTTTGGGGGTTTGGGGCACCTTCCTCTGGCCGGCCATGATGTTGCGCGTAGCCTTCTTGCTACTACCACACCCCAAACTGGGTTTAGGGTTTAGGGTTTAGGGTTTAGGGTTTAGGGTTTAGGGTTTAGGGTTTAGGTCCAAGAGGCTGCACCATGCGGAAGATGGGCACGTTGTATAGAATGACGCCTGCATTCCTTCAGGTGCTAGCTTTCTTGTCCCCCAGGTATGCCCAAACTGATGCCCAAACAGAAGACCCCAAAACTCCGAAACCTATGGACAGTCCCCTAAACCCTAAACCCTAATCCCTAAACCGTCACTAAGCCGAAGAAGCTGGATGAACTTACCAAGCTCAGTAAGGAAACAAGCTGAGGGTGAGGGATCTTGGGATCCCTCCTAAACCCTTTCTTTGGCTTCCCTAAACCCTAAGGCCTCACAAGAAAGAAAGCAGAACTGTCCTATACAGTATGTACTTGGGCCTTCAAGGGGGTTCCTATATAGTAGCTTTAGGGCTCAAGCATATAGTATGCAGGTCCCCAAGGTTTGCAGGGCTGAGGGTTTAGGGTTTACACAGCGTTTAGGGTTTAGGGTTACCCTGAACCCTGAACCCTTACTAAACCCTAAACCCTAAGCCCTAAACCCCGCGAGCCAATGGTCCTTGGGCCCTCGTTCTTCTGAAGCTGTGAGGAGTAGGCGGCAGCATACATCTTCTCCTTTACCTTGGTAGCACAGTAACCATATTCTACTGAGGGCACCCCTAAACCTTAAACCCTAAACCCTAAACCCTAAACCCTAAGGCACCCCTTTTTGGGGTTGGTCACTTTAAAGAAGGGAGCCCGGGACGAAACAAAAAAAGAGGCACCACTGGGGCTACCAAGCTGCCGATGACAGAAGCTCCGTTGGCGTGACCTCGCACCAAGGGTGTGGCGGGGGTTTGGGGTTCGGGTTTAGGGTTTAGGGTTTAGGGTTTAGGGTTTAGGGTTTAGGGTTTAGGGTTTAGGGTTTTGGGGTTCAAGGGTTACAGGGATGGACCCCTTTTAAGCCAAAGCCTGAAGTCATGCTTCTCCATACTAACCTAGTTCAACCCCTCGCCCCCCCCCCCCCCCCCCCCCCCCCCCCCCCCCCCCCCTACCCCTCCGCGACCCCACGACAGGGTAAGGCTGGAAGAAAAGATCGTAAATTAGGAGCCCTAATTAAAACCCTAAACCCTAAACCCTGAACCCCTAAACCCTAAACCCTAAACCCTATCCAGGCTTAGAGCAGTGTAAGGCTTTGTGATAGCTTGCAGGCTAAGGATGAGTGAGCGTTGCGTTAGACCAAGAAACCTTGCAGGGCCAGCCCAATGAGATTTGTGACTTAGGGATTAGGGCGATCCGGGTTTAGGAACCCACCGATGCTGTTCAGGTAGAATGATGGGGCATAAGAAAGACGCTTCACCCTAAACCCTACACCCTAAACCCTGAACCCTGATCCCTAAACCCTAAACCCTTAAAAAAAGCGGGCAAGCTAAGACGCATCTGATGATATGCAGCAGTGTCGATACAGCTACATGGGCTCTGACGCCACAAAGGGAACGGCACAAGCACGAGCATGCTCAAGCAAGTCGTTAAAACCCCCGAAACCCAAACCCTAAACCCCAAACCCTAAACCCCAAACCCCAAACCCTAAACCCTAAACCCCAAACCCCAAACCCCAAACCCCAAACCCCGGGTCAGCTCGTGCCTTCCGCCACCACAGGATGTCAAGGTCGGTGTAGAGGACATGGCGTTTATGAAGCCTCAGCTGGGGACGACACCACCTCTGAACCTTTCTCACTTACTCATAAAGGAAGGGCTTAGGGTTCAGGGTTTAGGGCTTAGGGTTTAGGGTTTAGGGTTTAGGGTTTAGGGTAAGCCCTAAAACCCTCCATGCTGGTGCTCAAGGCAAGGATGTGCTAAAGCCTTGCCAGAGCAGGGCAGAGAGCAGCATGTCTGCTCCGCCTGCCAAAGCTGCCAAAGCGCCATCCAGGATCCTATTTCATGGTTGGGATAGGATTTAGGGTTTAGGGTTTAGGGTTTAGGGTTTAGGGTTTAGGGTTTGGGGTTTGGGGTTTGGGGTTTGGGGTTTAGGATTTAGGGTTTAGGGTTTAGGGATAAATTCATAATCCTCATTGGGTTTAAGTATCCGTAAACAATGTAAAATGGTACCCAACTATGACAAAGGATCTGCGGCACGTCAAGGCGCATGTAGGTGCCCGCAACGCACTCGACGTCGGGCGTCTCTTGCTGCAACTTCGGGATGGCGTGCATTCCTCTGCTCCATTTTGCAGCTTTGGGGTGGGCTGGGTAGCAAACAAGGGCTAAGTCTAGCGGCTAAGTATATCAGGATGTTTTAGGCTGGGAGCTTCAGGGCAGCTGTTCAAACCCCAACCCGGTTCCAGCCGAATTCGCCTCGGTTTCGGGACGAAAGGCGTCTGAAACAAGCAGAACTTTTCTTGGCCACCCTCCTCCCCTCCTGTGGGACCGGCCCAACCCGCTTGGAGGAGGAAAAAGACCATGCCAAAAGCACGTCTTTATCGAATTCCTGGACCCCCGAATACCTCTTTTGTGGGACTTCCCTGAATCCCCCTCACGGCACTCCCCCGTCTATGCCTCCCGACCTCCTACCTCCCTAGACCCTCGTGGCACCCCAACTCACGCCTTCAAACCCCCAACCCACAGCTCTCCTACGTCCTGAACTCTGCCCCTAACGCTCCAAATAGCCCAAAGTAGGTATTCTTTACAGACTTTAGACCCCAATGTAGGCATTATTTGTATACTTGGAGCCTTGGGGTGCTGCTGCACCAAGTGACATAGGACCTGGCATCTACACCCCGCATTGGGCCAGCCCGGCTGCCGAGGCGGCACGCGCAAGCACTTACGCTTAAGGAGTGGGCCCAAAGCGCTTTCAGGGTTTGTGGGCCCCTTATGGGTTTGTAGGGTGTTGGCCACGGGTTTCCAACTAGATGGAAACTCCTCACACAAAAAACAATCAGAGGCCCCTGATCAATTCAGCCGCAGCATCGGTCTATGAAGGAGAGGGTGTGGAAGGTGATGTTGGCCCCCAGCTTTCGCAGGCGTTGCAGTTGCTCCTGGGTGTGCAGGCTCAGGCCAATCTGGGTCATGCCACGAGGCCTTGGTAGCCCAGTAGCCATCTTACAATAAGGGCACCCTTTTTTTTGGGGTTGGTTATTTTTAAAAGGGTTTAGGGTTTAGGGTTTAGGGTTTAGGGTTTAGGGTTTAGGGTTTAGGGTACCACTGGGCTACCAAGAGGCAGATGACATGCGAGAACTGGCTGGAACAGGTGGCTCCCGGACTCTTTCCAGGAGGTCAGGGCGATTTCGTACTGGCTCATGTAGCTGTCCATCTGGTCGCACTGGGGCGCCAGGGAGATGGCACTGAGCCACATCATTTTCTTCCGGGAACTTCTCTGGCCTCTGCCCTGTTGCAGACCCAGGCTCTTCCTCTCTTCCTGGGCATCCCCACTCTTCTGCACGCTGCGCGTGTGCTGCATGAGGGCAGGGGCTGCACTGGCATCCGCCTCGGATACTTCACAACCGGTTTCAGAGATCTCAGCCAAGGCAAGCACCAAGGCAGTTCCGGTGGAAAGAAGCCGCAACAGGCACATGGGGTTCGATATATAGATGTTGCTCAGCGCGGTAAGGGGCGCCGGCAGTAAGGCGAAGGGAAAGTGTGTTGTTGCGCTGCACTCTTTTGAGGAGAAACGGCAGCTGCACGTTGAGCTTCGGTGCAGGCTTGAAATCGGAGTGCTGTTGCAAGGACATGCACACTTGAGAGCACATTTTTTTGCCTGTCGGTTGACTTTAGCCCATGGCGGCCTACCCCTGACCTACAGGACACCAAAACACCACCCTTGCGGCCCCGGTGGGCGACAAAAGAGACGCAGGGTGTAGGGGTCAAGGCGGATTCTTCGACTGATAGACATGGCGATCCCTCGTATAAGGGGGAACATGCCTAGTTTAGGGTTTCAGGTGGCTCCGACGTGGCCTCCGTCTGCATGGCGAGAAAAGAGTCGGCTCGGTCCTTGAGCGCCTGTGTACAGCTGACTGTGACAGTCTGAGAGACGCTGCTTTTTTGGCCCCGAACTGGCGGCTCCCCGCCCCCGCCCCCCAAACCCCAAACCCGAAACTCCAAACCCTAAACCCCTCCCCTCCAAACACAGCGAAGCTGTTTGCATCCGTTTTCCCAGCATTTTCCTAATGCACACTGTTACTTTGTCCGAGATTGTTCACTATACTATCCATCAACTACACAACCAGAAAACACTGGCACTATTCTGAACCACAGCTGGTGCTAGTGACCATGTCTCTACTATCAGCATTCTAGCGACCCTCTTGCGCCTGCCACCACACAGGATGTGTTCTTTGTCCAGCCCTAAACCCTGAAGCCTATAGACCCTGAACTATACCCCTCCTGGCTCAAGGACAGTTCCGGCAGAAAGGCGAACCTGCCAGCAACAAGCTCTGGACGCAGTACAGACCAGGACACTAGTTGTATTTGGGATTCCCGCACGCCAACCAGTACATAAAGTTACCGCGAAGTCCCACTAAGGGTCCATGAAAATAGTATATACTTGGGCCCTAAAGTCACTAGACAGAAAATATTTGAAAGCTCGAGTTTACACTTAGGTACATGGACAGCACCCACTGGAAGATCATTCGGCATCCAGATGTTGATATGTTTTTGGGTCTGGTCAACCCAGGGAGCTTCGAGCGATATCATGGCCCCGTGATTCCATGCACCTGTTTACATACTATACACACACTTGGCGGAAACGACGAGGTCATCTTTTAAAACCAGCTACACTCAAACATCCATAACAACACGTAGAATTCCAGCCCCCCTGGCGCCTGCGAGCAGTCTGGCGAAAACATTACGAAATATACTATGAACCTACAAGACACAGCCGAAAGCACGTGGTTTCGACCCTCCTAGACCCGCAACCCTCAATGACCTGCGTCCAACAGTGGTGTTGGATGAATGGGTGTCTGATTAATTAGCACCAGTATTTTGCGCTTTACAATGGTGATGGCGCTGTGGTGAGATAGGTTCTGGCCTGACAAGTCTGTTGGGGAAGACAACTCCGCGGAAGGGGGGTGATCCATACTTTGCGTCTGCCAACTTCGTATCCATCAAGCCACCAAAGGGTAGCATCTTTTTTGGGGCAATGCGGACCGAAGTCGATGCGATGAAAGCGCAACAACAGTAGGAGTTTAGGGTTTAGAGTTAGGGTTTACACTCACATGAATATTTTACAATAATTACGCTACATTGGCGTACTACAGTTTATCAAGCACGTGCCACTCAGGGTTTAGGGTTTAGGGTTTAGGGGTGTCAGCAAACCAGTTGCACAAGGACCGGCATTCGGCATTCGGGTAGCTGCGATGAGAACAGGGATACCTTTGGTACTTGTTTATGGGCTCGCGTGCGAAATGTGCGTGAATGTAGGCCCTTTAAACTCTAACCCTAGCAAGCAAATTTCTTGATGGGCTGTCTAATGAGGATGTGGGTTTCGCTTGGGTTCTAGGACGTGACAACATCCACATGCGCAATCCCGTTAGAAACAGTACTGCTTCCAAATCGGTCCTGGAGGCTGGCTAACCTTATTGGGTTCTTAAGTGAGGGGGGTTCATGGGGGGGGAGGTACCTAGCGAACTTTCGGGAAGCTTAGGGAGCCTTAGCCTATTAGCGAGTAGTAGGGAGTATTCGGGAACCTAAACCCTAAACCCTAAACCCTAAACCCTAAACCCTAAACCCTAAACCCTAAACCCTAAACCCTAAACCCTAAACCCTAAACCCTAAACCCTAACCCCCCCCATGACCGGTCCTCGGGGCATCCCCAGCCTCGCCCTGGCAGAACGACAGGGGGTTTAGGGTTTAGGGTTTAGGGTTTAGGGTTTAGGGTTTAGGGTTTAGGGTTTAGGGTTTAGGGTTTAGGGTTTAGGGAGTAAAGTAGATACAGCTAAGCCGAATACTTTAGTCCGGGTGCCGGTTTTGTGCGAACACGCGATCCCGTAGCTCAAGGGTTTTTATGTCGAAGGGCCCCTATCAACCCATCGCCGAGGCATGGCGCATCAACGTCGGAATAGTTTTTGAATACCTTGACAGGGCAGTGCATGAGCTTCGTACATGAAACGGAAGTATGAACCCTAACCCTGAAAAATTACCTACAATAGGGGCCTAAATAATTAGAATAGGGTTTTGGGGGTTATATATATATATATAGTAGATTTACAAAAGGGACCAAAAGGGACACTATTCGTAATTATTCCGACCCCTTTATTGGGGTTAACCCTAAACCCTAAACCCTAAATCCTAAACTCCCTTTATAAACCTTCGGCGCTCAGAACGCAGGCAGCATGAACACCATAGCATACCATCGGCCTACACCAAGCAAAACTTGGGATGTTTCCCTTACACTGACAGTCCTTAACAGGGATTATGACAGGGGCAATAGGGGTACGATAATCCCTATTTCGGACTGTTAGTATAAGCTGGAACATCCCAAAACTAAACCCTAAACCTTAAACTTCCTTAAGCCCTGTATAAACCCTGAACCCAAAACCCTAAACCTTAAACTTCCTTGAGCCCTATATAAACCCTGAAGCCAAAACCCTAAGTAGATCGAAAGCCCTGCCTTGCCCGGCGTCGGAGGCACCTGGTGCAAGGCTTGCAAAGTCAGCACGCGCATTTCCGGGGAAGGCGACTAACGAGGCCCCACTCCCGGAAAAATCCTCAAAACGCAACGGAGGGGGTTTAGGGTTTAGGGTTTAGGGTTTAGGGTCACAAACCTTCCTGGAAGGGTGCGTCTCCTGCCTCCGGGCTCGGCGTCGCGGCGTCCGCAGCCTTTGCCCAGTGGCTCGGAGCTTGTCGGAAACATTGATATCATTGACGGCTGCCTACCTCTTCTAAGGGCCTGAACCCTAAACCCCAAACCCTAAACCCTGAACCCCGAAACCCTAAACCCCAGACCCTAAACTCTAAACCCTAAAACCCTAAACTCTTCTAAGGGCCTAAGCCCTAAACCCTAAACCCTAAACCCTGAACCCTAAAACCTAAACTCTTCTAAGGGCCAGCTGTGGTGTTGAGGTCATGGCCGGATCGGCGACCTCTTTGCCTGCCACGATTCGGCTGGGTCAGGTGAACCGGTCCCACGACTGATTCACACATGCTACTGTACATAGGTATATGTATACACGTATATAATAATGGTAATGATGATAATAATAATAGTAGTAGTAGTAGTAGTAGTAGTATAGAACAATATATATATATATATATATATATATATGATGTGCGGGGGGGGGGGGGGGGGGTTCCAAAATTAGGGGTGCCTTTTGTGGTCCTCACAATAGGGGAATCCTACCACCTGGGGTCTTGTTCATGGATCCTGAATTTTCTAAACCCACACATCCCGCATATGTATGTATGTACATGTATATATATATATATGTATATATATATATTATTTATTTGTTTATATATAATACGTACATATATTTAAGGTATATAGATATAGGTATTCCCCAAATAGGGGTCCGAAACATTTACCCCAAACGGGGTATCATTCCCGCTTCATAAGGACACCAAAACAGGCCATAACTGAAGCCTGTCACATGCCATCCCGCCCTCTGCAGCGCATGGTCCCAGATATGGTCCCTTACCTTCTTCAACGGGTGCCGAAGTAAGGGCCCTTGGGTGTTAGAGGGTATAGAAGGGTCCCCTGTTCTAAGGGCTCATATTAAGAGGCCATGTAACTACCCTAAGATAAACCAAAAAATCCTCAAAAACATGGAATTCCCCCCTAAGATTCTCTCAACAACAACTGCCGACTAAGGGGTGTCAGCTTCGCCCAAGTCCTCGAAGGACAGGAAGACCTAGCACCAGGTGGCAGCAACTAATCTCGGGGTCGGAGTAGTTACTAATAATACTCCCTTATGGTCCCTATATAAGAAAACTACGATAGCCCCCAAAACCCAATGACAATTATTTCAGGCCGCCACAGTATCGGGGCATGTCTTGAAGACATCTTCGCAAGACCCCACTTCAAAAGATGCACAGAGTTGCTCAGCGAATCTGAGGGAAAGACACAAGCCGAGACGGTGTAGCACAGGGTGTGTCTTCAACAGTTTTGTGATGTATCATTAGAGGGGTCGGAATAATTACTAACAGTATTCCCTTATGGCCCCTTTATAACTTACTGCAATAACTTAAGCCCCTAAAGCCCTGTTCCAATTCTTAAGGCCCCGTTATTATACGGCACCTTGGACTCTTCCCCGGGTGCATCTCATCCATCAAGCCCGTTGGCGCACAGGGTCAAATCGAAGTATACAGAGATTATCTCTATCTTGGGATGAACACTACAACTAATGCCTGGGCGGGGCGATTTAGAGCCTGTGGAATCCCTAAACCCTAAACCCTGAACCCTAAACCCTAACGCTAAACCCTAAACCCTAAACCCTAAACCCTAAACCCTAAACCCTAAACCCTAAACCCTAAACCCTAAACTTCGGGCTTCGGGGTTTTAAAGTCTCTGGCTCAAGTGCGGCTGGAAGGCCCCGGAGGACGCTGCCCCGGGTGCTGCCGGATCGCCTTGGCGCTATGTCCCTGAACCCTAAACCCTAAACCCTAAACCCTAAACCCTGAACCCTGAACCCTGAACCCTGAACCCTGAACCCTGAACCCTGAACCCTGAACCCTAAACTAAACTCTAAACCCTAAACACTGAACCCTCAAGCCTAAACCAAACCCTAAAACCTGGGCACAAAAAGGGTTGCCCTTTTTGGTTTACAGGGGCCTATAACGGGAACCTAAACCCGACAGAAAGGGGAATGAGGGCCTACTCTAGGGGAACTAATGCTCAACCGGTGGTGGGAGTATCCGGGGAATATAAGACCCAAAAAAGGTTGAAGGTTGCCTACTCTGCTCCTAAACCCTGAACCCTAAAACCCTGAACCCCCAAGCCCGAAACCCTTTTGCAACAGGCTTGCCACCTCGCCCGAGACCCTGAACCCTAAACCCTAAACCCTTACACCCTAAACCCTAGTAAGGTAGAGTGGAAGGAGCTCAGGACGTTGGACGTTTGGTGGGGGTTGAGGCCAGCACGAAAGTCTCGGTCTCCCATGGCTTCCTGTTGAGCAATTGGGGGGGGGGGGGGGGGTTAGGGCTTAGGGTTTAGGGCTTAGGGCTTAGGGTTTAGGGTTTTTCGCTTCCTGTTGAGCACTGGGGGGGGGGGGGGGGGGGGGTTAGGGATTTTTGCCACCCTTCTGGATTTTTCCGTTTAGGGTTTAGAGTGAAGTACGGGTGCTGGGTGTTGGCCCTTTGGGGGACTCCTCGTTGAATTCCGATGTTCCAGACCATGACGAGTCAAACTGAGTGTGCGGTGCGCAAAGTCGCAGGGCACCTACAACAAGGGTCCTTTCTTTGGCCTCTGATTTCTACTCCCTGTTGTAAGGGGTCTAGATTCCTACTCCCTGTTGAGCCCTGTTGTAATGGTCCAGCCGAGATTTTGAAGAACCCTAAACTCTAAACCCTGAACCCTCAAGCCTAATCCCCTCCCCCAATCTCAACCCGTGCTTGGCCCACTCTCAAGGGCTTGCAGCATTCGAGCCTTCACTAATGTGGAGGGCCGTTCTACACTTTACTCTCTCCCTCAAGCCCGAAAGATAACTTTGGTAATGCTTAGGGGGCTTCTGTGATCTAGGGTTCGGCTCCCCCATACAGCGACAGCCGGCCGTATGCTTTGAATATCAGCACAACTTATAACCCAAAGAATCCTAAGCACCTATATGGGGGACACTCACCTTAACCATAATAGTCATTCCTATTATAGAAACCCCTACTTTGTACTATGTAGGTACTTAGGACCCTTTGGGTAAACACAAGAAGAGCGACAGGATGCCACAAGTATGATGGCCCGATTCAAACAACTGCTGTAGTACAAGGGGGGGAGTACACCCGAGCTCCTGTAGCCACCTATTGAGTTAGGCTCTCCAAGCTAGGGGTCCTTTTTTTAACGTGTCGTACTACATGGGGACCCCCGCCCCCCCCCCCCCCCCCCCCAAAAAAAAAAAAAAAAAGGGGGGGGGAAGCTCATTCAGAAAAGCTATCCTACCGGCTCTGCCACTGGGCGCCTCGGCAGCACCCTCCTCGGCAATGTCTATCCACACGTCACCCAGCAACCGTGCCTCGCCATGGGAATGCTAGACCCCTCTAAGGGTAGTTACACGGTCCCCCCTAAACCCTAAACCCTAAACCCTAAACCCTAAACCCTAAACCCTAAACCCTAAACCCTAAACCCTAAACCCTAAACCCTAGTGTGGGCCCTTCAAAGGGGGTACCCCTTGTTATACCCAAAACCCAAATTCTGGGCCCATACAAAAGGAGGTTCGGGACCATATTGTGGGCCCATGAAACTACACTCAGAAACCCTGAGGGTCCATGTGCCAATAAAATTTATACCCTAAACCCTAAACCCTAAACCCTAAACCCTAGTGTGGGCCCTAAAGCCAGGACTTGGGAGTCCCTTTTAAGGCCCAAGCAATGTGCCCTAAACCCTAAACCCTCCCATCCCTCAACCCTAAGCCCCAAAACCTTACGATGCCATATGCTGTACAGGTACATGGACTCTTAGGGGAATCTGAAGGTCAACTGGGAGGCGTGCCATTTGGGGCTGTATAACAACCCCGATGGAAACCTGCTGGTCCCCAAAAATGTTATCGTTTTTTTTTTTTACTCCTTATCGTTTTACAGTGTATGCGCACACAACACAGTATTGTTGGCTAGAATTCTTATTGTTTTACAGCGGTTGCTTATAAAAGGAAATGCTTCGGAGCACTTGGTTTCCACCAGGCCCCCAGAGACACCACAAGACCAGAGTCACCACAGGGCACACATCTTCAACCCTGGAATGGTCCAGGTCCTTCAACAGACCCCATCGTGAACAAAAAGTTATCGTTCTGGTTATCGTTTTGATATCGTTTTTGACCTAAAGAACTCGGGGTGTGAGGGTGTAAGGGCTGTTAGGCGTGTAAGGGGCCACACAACAAAAACCCTGCAGAAAGTTATCGTTTTATTTTACTCCTTATCGTTTTACAAGCTAAACGATACTCGGGCGCACTCCTTTCTAAACCGCAAGCCGCGGGGTTATTATACAACCCCATTTGGGGACACCTTTTTGTGGACGGTTCACAAGGACTCCTCCAGGTGCGCTGCTTGTGAATCTAGGTTGACCCTTAGCTGACAAAATTGCTTCCTCTTAGACCCCAAAGCGAAAGAACATATCAAACGCCCCAAGAACCTGCCTAGCCATTTACTGTATTCCAGCACACGAAGGGCACCCCGTTCTCTGGGAGACTGTCTTAGTTGCTGAGTTCATAAGCCCCCCCAAAAGTGTACACTTTCAGTTCTATAGGGGATTCTAGCATACCAAAGGTGTAAAGTGTTGCTCTCATTCAGCTATGAAGTTGTCAAGAGAATGTTGGCGAAGCCTTCTTGTCCGTGGCGGGCGCTGCGGAAGCGTCCTGTCGGGCGAGGAGACTTGAGATTCTCTTTTGAAACGGGGGTTTCCGAAATTAGGAGTACCTGATTGGGATCCTTTTTTATAAGGGAATCCTACTATTTGGGGGTCTAATTTCGGGGTCCCCTATGATCGTACATCCCAAATCAGGAGAGCTGGCACATTCACTATGCTGGCTTTGACGCTCGAACACAAGCCTGGAGCAAGCATCGGGTTTCATCGCTTTCGCTGGGCCGCGCCATGAATGGTCCAAGGTTGCCAGGGGATGAAGCGGCTTACTTGGAGGTTCATGGGTACTTATAACACCAATGATACGTCTACTTCTAACCTACTTAGGGGACTTAAGGGGCTTATGAGTACGGTGATAGTTGGGGTTAGAATAAGTCCCCTGAACCTCACCCTAAACCCTAAACCCTAAACCCGAAACCCTAAACCCTAAACCCTAGGGTTTAGAACATCTGCCTCGCCCTTGCAAACCGAGACAAGATTTGTTTCGACCGTGATGGCCCTCACTTGCCCCATACAAGGGTCCATGTACCCATAGTTTAGGGTTTAGGGTTTAGGGTTTAGGGTTCAGGGTTTACACATAGTATATACTTGAACCCGAAAGCTACTATATCGGAACCCTTTAAGGCCCAACTATAGGCTGTATGCGCACATTGTGGACTCTTAGGGTTGCTGTAAACCAAGCATGGAGCTTTGGGTTTAGGGTTTAGGCTTTAGGGTTTAGGAAGCTTCCTCCTTCTCCCCATCCGCCACTTTGGGCGCGGTGGATGCTGGAGCTGTCTTGTCCTGGGCTCAACTATGACTTGATAGGTCGCAATACGAGGTTATGGGGAGGAAGTACCTGCATACCCTAAACCCGAAACCCTAAACCCTAAATAAACCCTAAACCCTAAACCCTAAACCGTAAACCCCAAACCCTAAACCCTATATCCGCCTATGTAATCCTTAAACAAGGGACTACTCAGGGCTCCTCGCTCCTAAATTCCTGTCTTTCAGAGCCAGTCGGACGATTTCAGAAGCCTGGGAACTGCCAGGCATGGACCGTAAAATCTCAACCAAGAGAAAAATCCAGCCCCCGAAAAGATGCGGTTTAGGGCTTAGGGCCTAAACCCTATACCGCATCTTATCGGGGGCTGGAGTTTAGGGTTTAGGCTTTAAATAGGGTTCGGCACCCCCTAGTGGGACGGACCGCTCCCCAGGCTCAGAGGGTTTAGGGTTTAGGCACAGAGTCCCTTGAGAGGCTGCGGGTTTAGGACGTGATTATCTTGAGCTGGGGTTTCGACGTTGATGTCTGAGACTTTACGTGATAGGGGAACGAGTCAGGCGCGCGACTCCTCCTGCTTGGGCTCAAGGCTTGGCCCTGAACCCTAAACCCTAAACCCTAAACCCTAAACTCCCTAAACCCTAAACCCTGTCCTTGACATCGGATGAAGACGAAGTAGCACCGCCGGCGCTCTCCTGCCAAGGCTTCCGGCTGCAGGACGTCATGTGCTCGAACTTTGGGTTTAGGGTTTAGGGTTTAGGGTTTAGCGGGGTTTCGAGCCCTCCCCACAAGCCGCACGAGCCCCAGTATGACTGAAAGAGAGATGCGGAACTGGCCCCAATCTTCGAGAATATTCACTCGTATTCGAGGAAACCGCATGGGTTAAGGGTTTGGGGTTTAGGTATGATTCGGTTCCTTTTAGAAAGAAGTAGTCTCATGCATTAAGGGCTGCTTCTGTTTACAGGCAGCCAGAGACGCCTCGGATGAGAGAGGGCTTTCAGTCGACAGCTGCCGGATCTGTCCACAAAATCCACTTCGGAAGGTCCCGAGGCGGGCTTGGGAATGGGGCTACACTCTGAGCCCACCTCAGATGGTGCCCTAGCCTAAAGGGAATAGGCTAGAACAAAAGGCCCATGATGTAGACCAACCTTAGTTAGGGCTTAGGGTGGGGCCAAGCCCACTACTTGCTTCAGAACCCCCCCCCCCCAAAAAAAAAAAAAAAAAAAACAAGACAAAACAGAATAATCATATCTATCTTGCCCTTACGAGCATGCTTTTGCTTTTGGGGGGGGGGTGGTTCGTACGCAGAAGGGCAGAAGCAGGCACAGCAAGGGCCTCCTTGTCGAACGGGGACTTGCCCTGTCCAACGGAGCCTCGCACGCACCCCTAAACCAGGAACCCTAAACCAGGAACTCTAAACCCCAAACCCTAAACCCTAGGTTAGAGATAGTCCACACCCTCTCGGTCGGGCTACTCGGATCCCCTTTTGGGTAAACGTAATGCCAAGTTAACAATTACATCCACCGCAACTCGGACAGGCCAGGCGAGACACGCACAACCCAATGTCCCCCAAACGCGACACTTTCTTTCTAGGCTGCCCAGTAACCCCAAGGCTTAAAAAGGGTGCCCTTTTTTGCTTAAAGGGGTTTATAAGAGAACCTAAACCCTTAAGAAAGGGAATAAGGGTACTACTGGGCATCCCAGCTTTGGGCGCTCTGAGATCCTGACCGAGCAGCAAGCCTGACGACAACTTCACAACATCTGCGCTGATACTCGCACAAGCAGGAGCGTGACCCATCATCTGCATTCGCTACCTCATGGCTTGCTCAAACCCTAAACCCTAAACCCTAAACCCTAAACCCTAAACCCTAAACCTGGCATGTTCGCTTGCCCAGAGTAAAAAAAACACTGCACAATACTGAACTGCACCCAGGAGAGTGCTTGGGTCTGACTGCTGTTTAGAATCTCCGTATTAGTTATTCTGCAAGCAAGCTCCCAAAGCATGGCCTAGAGCGCGCGTAGTCTCGGCATCTTCCTTGATGTAGATCCGTCCTGAGTGTGCCAAGAAAAGGCCTCGCTTTTCAAGCTGTTTTGCGGATCAAGGGCCACCAAAGAAAGCCTTACAGCATTAGGGTTTAGGGTGTCGCCAGGCCCAAAAGTGCTTCAAAATAAGGGGGCCTGAATAATTAGAATAGGGTGGGGGGGGGGGGGGGTATATTCTAGTATAGTTACAAAGGGACCCTAGGGGAATACTACTAGTAACTATTCCGACCTATTCCGACCCCCATGTTAAAGCATTTACCACCCACAGTCACCTCGAAGAACTTAAGGGACACATGCTTTCAATCCAAGCGGCATCAACAGAGCAAGCATCTTCATTTGGTGAGCTCTCTAAAAATCCGGTCCCGTTTGGGGTCCTGATTCTGAAGCGGACCTTAATTAGGGTATACCCCAAAAAGGGACCATGATTTCGAGAAACCGTAATTATGGGGAACATGGGGGAACACTTCATGAGTGCACTTACCCCTAACCACGGAGCCTACCACGACCGCCTGCGCTTACAGCGTGAGCCCGTGCGTGCGAAAACTTCAAAACCTACACATCCTAAGCCCTAAACCCTAAACCCTAAACCCTAAACCCGCCCCAAATGAACCCTGAAATTTAGGTTCAGGGTTTAGGGGTGCCCGATACTACTGAAAATCCCCATTGCAAGTATCTGAACCATAAACCCTCTTGTGGTTCATCTGGTCCCCAAGTTGGGGGTTAATGTAGGAGCCTGAACAATTAGAATAGGGTTCCGGGGGGGGGGGGGGGGGGGGCGGGATGATTCTAGTTATTCTAGTAAAATTATACAGGGGCCATATGGGGATATTATTCGTAACCGTTCCGACCCCTAAACCCTAAATCCTAAACCCTAAACCCTAAACCCTAAAGAGCTTGAACAGCTGCCTCCAGAACCCTCTCTGGGCCCCCCTGGCGGCCACGAGGTCGGGCTGTGGGCCTCAAGTGGTGAGCCCACTACCGCCCACTAACCTTAATATATATATATATATGTATATATATATATATATCTGAGGCAGGAACCTTTATGTATAATGTGATGATCCTCCTTTGTTTTTCATACTAGTCTATACTACTGTTACGATTAACAGATTTCTCGAATATGGCCATTACGACGTTTCTCTGAAAAATGCTTCTAAACCCCAACCCTAGACCGTAAACCTAAACCAAGCCAAAAAATGTAATATAATATCACAAGAGCCTACCTCCCTAGAGGTGAAAGACAGAGACTACACCGTGTGTCTCTTTCGCACTAAACCCCTAAGACCGAAACCCTACCCCTAAGCCTTCGTCTTGGGACACGTTTTACAACAAAATAATTATGAAACATCCGGACACGGCGTCGCGAGAATACTGTGAGCAAAATTTGTTTTTTTCAGCTCCTGCCCCGTGCATGCCCGGGAAACCCCAAAACAAGGTCCAGAGAGGCCCCACAGAAACGGGCCCCTGGGAGGCCCCAAAACAGGGCCTCGGGAGGGAACCTATTCTTGGAATATGTTTTAAAACAAAATAATAATGAAACATTCGGACACGGTATCGCGAGAATACTGTGAGCAGATACTTCATTTTTTTTAGTTCATGCCCCGTGCACGCGCATCCCTGCAAAATGGAATAACAACCATCTACCCTCCAAATAATTATGAAACATTCGGACACGGTATCGCGAGAATACTGTGAGCAGACACTTCATGTTTTTTAGGTTCATGCCCCGTGCACGTGCATGCCCCGCAAAACGGAATAACAACCATCTACCCTCCAAACAACCTATTGTTGGGACAGGTTCTCGAACGATGTTACTGTGAAGCATTCTTGGGACGACGATAGGAAGAAGACAAGGGAGTAAGGCAAAAGACAGGAGAAAGAGAAGTGAATCCGAGAATGGTAGAAGGAGAACAAGAGCCACGGAAAAGACAACAAGAATGAGAGAACGTAAGAGAGAAAGAACAACTAGAGAGAGGGGAGGGGATGAAAAGAGGAGGAGCTTAAGAAAGCAGCAGGGCCTTGTCCTCCGCCTCTGTTCATTCCTTGTTCTTCCTTCCTGTCACATTGATGATAAACCAAGACGAGCTTGCGTGGATGTGTGTGAAGACAAAGGAGAAGAGGACTGGTAGCCGCGAGATTCGGAGGAGGAGTTGTCCTCTTCAGTCGCCCTCTGTCCTTCCACTCTCCTTTCTTTGCCATCTCTGGCTCGCTCATCCCTCCCCTCTCCTCTTTCCTTCCGCCCCTTCTTTCCATTTCTGCAAAGAATAAGGAATAGCAGAGAACAGAAAGGAAGAGATAAGATGGAGGAAGACGGTGGGGAAAGGAAGGGTGAATTGTTTCTTCGTCTGGCTCTCTGGCTTTCTCTTCCCTTGCCTTCTTCATCTTCTCTTGTCGGACCCTGTTCTCTTCATAAGAAAGGAATGAAAAGAACGGAAAGAACGGAGAGCTCAGGGAAAGCAAGAGGCCCTCGCTTTCATTTTCTTCCTCGTTTTCATTGCTCTCTTCATCTCTCTCTGTCTCTCCCTCCATCCCTCCCTCTTTACTTCTGCAAATTCCCTTTTCCGCTTCTCTTTCCTGCTTGATACCTCAACTTGATATGTACCTTCCCCTCCTTCCGCTCCCTTTTCTCCTTCCCTTCCTTTTTTCCTGTATCTGTCAGAAAGACGATGCACAAGGAAGAAGACAAGAGAGTAAGGCAAAAGACACGAGAAAGAGAAGCGAATCCGAGAATGGTAGAAGGAGAACAAGAGCCACGGAAAAGACAACAAGAATGAGAGAACGTAAGAGAGAAAGTAAGAGAGAAAGAACAATTAGAGAGAGGGGAGGGGATGAAAAGAAGAGGAGCTTAAGAAAAGCAGCAGGGCCTTGTCCTCCGCCTCTGTTCATTCCTTGTTCTTCCGTCCTGTCACATTGATGACAAACCAAGACGAGCTTGCGTGGATGTGTGTGAAGACAAAGGAGAAGAGGACTGGTAGCCGCGAGATTCGGAGGAGGAGTTGTCCTCTTCAGTCGCCCTCTGTCCTTCCTCTCACCTCTCTTCCACTTTGCCATCTCTGGCTCTCTCACCCCTCCCCTCTCCTCTTTCCTTCCGCCCCTTCTTTCCATTTCTGCAAAGAGAGGAATAGCAGAGAACAGAAAGGAAGAGATAAGATGGATGAAGACGGTGGGGAAAGGAGGGGTGAGTTTTTTCTTCGTCTGGCTCTCTGGCTTTCTCTTCCCTCGCCTTCTTCATCTTCTCTTCTCGATCCCTGTTCTCTTTATAAGAAAGGAATGAAAAAGAACGGAAAGAACGGAGAGCTCAGGGCAAGCAAGAGGCCCTCGCTTTCATCGTGTTTTCTTCCTCGTTTTCATTGCTCTCTTCATCTCTCTCTGTCTCTTCCTCCTTCCCTCCCTCTTTACATCTGCAAATCCCTTTTCCGCTTCTCTTTCCCGCTTGGTGCCTTAACTTGACGTTTACCTTCCTCTCCTTCCGCACCCTTTTCTCCTTCCCTTCCTTTTTCCTGTATCTGTCAGAAAGACGATGCACAAGGAAGAAGACAAGAGAGTAAGGCAAAAGACACGAGAAAGAGAAGCGAATCCGAGAATGGTAGAAGGAGAACAAGAGCCACGGCAAAGACAACAAGAATGAGAGAATTTAAGAGAGAAAGTAAGAGAGAAAGAACAACTAGAGAGGGGAGGGGATGAAAAGAGGAGGAGCTTAAGAAAGCAGCAGGGCCTTGTCCTCCGCCTCTGTTCATTCCTTGTTCTTCCTTCCTGTCACATTGATGATAAACCAAGACGAGCTTGCGTGGATGTGTGTGAAGACAAAGGAGAAGAGGACTGGTAGCCGCGAGATTCGGAGGAGGAGTTGTCCTCTTCAGTCGCCCTCTGTCCTTCCTCTCACCTCTCTTCCACTCTCCTTTCTTTGCCATCTCTGGCTCTCACCCCTCCCCTCTCCTCTTTCCTTCCGCCCCTTCTTTCCACTTCTGCAAAGAGAGGAATATCAGAGAACAGAAAGGAAGAGATAAGATGGATGAAGACGGTGCGGAAAGGAAGGGTGAATTGTTTCTTCGTCCGGCTCTCTGGCTTTCTCTTCCATTGCCGGGTAGGAAGACGGTGGGGAGAAAGATGAACTGCTCCTTCGATCGGCTCTCTCTTGCCTTCTTCTTCTTCTTCTTCTCTTCTTCTTTTTTCATAAGACAGCAAGGAACGCTCTCTCATCATCTCCCCCTTCATCGTCTTTGTTGTTTCTGTCACTCTCTCGCACGAGATTGGGAGGAAGACTCCTCCTCTTCACTCGCCTTACGTCACGTCCTTCCTCTCGCAACTCTCTTCCGCCATCGTTTCGTTGATTTTCTTTTTGCAACGAACGGTAGGAAACACATAGGAGAGTGCTCTTCCGCTCCCGTGTGTTTTTTGATTGTTTTTGTCTAATGGACGGGTAGGAACCAGGAAGGACAGCGGAGAAATAGAATGAAAAACAAGAGAGGAAAGGTTAAAAAGAACAGAAATGTCAGAAAGAAGAGAGAGAGAGAGAGAGTCTGCGAAATCGAGCGAGAAAGAAAATTTCAACGAGGCAGTCGAGAAAGAAGGGCACAGAGAAGAGCAAGCGACAGAGCCACGAGCGAGGCCTGTTCCCATTCCGTTTTTCTATCTCAGCCTCCAGGCCTCCCGGAAGCCTGCCAGAATGTAGGGGCCTTCAAGGTTTCTAGAATGTCTGTTGGAGGCAAGAGCTTCCAGTAGCATCCATCGCCTCTCCTCCCCTCCCCTCTTCCTTTCCTTACAGGGAGAGACAGCAAGACATTGAGAAAAGAGAGGGCGGAAAGAAGGCAAAAACGAAATGCAAGACAAAGCCAAGGGAAAGGGAGGAAGTCCTTCTTCCTCTGCCTGTTCTTCTCTCTTGCTTATTCTTAGGAAGGCGTCGAAGAGAAGGAAGGGTAGGGCGTGGGACGGGGGAATGTAAGGGGTGAAAGAATTACGCTAACCGCATATCTCCAGTTCAACTTGTTCAAGAACCCCTAGAGCGCTGCTGCTTCTCAGGGGCCTGCAAGCGTCTCCAACTTCCTAATTGAGGGGGCCTCCCGAAGGGAATAGACATGTAGAAAGGCAGAGGGTAGTGAGAACGAGCAAGAGAGAGAGAGAGAGAGAGAGAGAGAGAGACAGAGAGAGAGAGAGAGAGAGAGAGAGAGAGAGAGCGAGGGAGGGAGGGAGGGAGGGAGGGAGAAAGAGAGAGAGAGAGAGGAGCGAGATTAAGCGAAGGGGAAAGTGATTGGAACCCGCCACTAATGAGTTGGAGAGAATCGCTTTGTCCTTTTCCCCACATCCTTCCTCTCCTCTCTTCCTCCGGTGAGAGGGCAGGGGCGAGAGCTGTGGAGAGAAAGTCGCAGAGAACGGGCGACATCGAGGTAAGAAAGGAAGAAAGAAGGAAAATAAAGAGACGCAAAGAAAACGAATCATTTGCTGCAAGGCCCGGGGACGCGAGAATACTGTGAGCAAATATTCTTTCACTACTTACTGCCCGAGACCTTCCAACAGGCTGCGGCTGCTAGTACTTGCTCGCAAGCATCTCACTGTTCATTCTCAATGTTTCCCACACGTCTCCCAACATGGTTATCATTTCTCAAGGATAGTTCCCATTTTCCAACCGTCCGCAAGACTCACACGTACACAAGGTCTTACATGATACTTGTCCAAACCACTTACTGTAAAACGTGTACGAAACCTCGGTTTATGACAGGGGGGAGGGGGGGGCTTAAATAGGGTCTATGTGGAAGCTGATCTTCGGCGTTTTTCTGTGCAGGGCAGGTGCCTCCAGGGGACACTGCCTTCATCTCATTCCGTCTTCCCGTACCATCTTAAAAGAAAAGTGAGGAGATAGAGAGAAAGAGAGACAAGGTCAGGGGGAGAGAAGAGGCGGGGGTAAGAACAAGGTAGGAAGAACATGCAAATTCCTCTTCTCTCTTCTCTTTTTTTTTTCAG